GTCTTTTGACAACACTAGTTTGAGCATAAACAATATCTGCAAAGTTACGAAGCTGAAAGTTCAATGCAAACGGAGATATCGTCTTTTAAAATTCTGGCAGTTTAATGCCTACAAAAACGGCTGGTAGGGACTACAACAAATTACTTCCCGGGTTCATGACGTAACAAACCCAGATAACCCCGCCCTCGTGAAAAGGTAGCAAAGGGGGCGAGGCCATGCTGCGCTGCTTTAGAGAAGAGGAAGAGAAAACGTCTCCAGGTTACGTATGTAACCATGGTTCCCCGAAGGGAACGAGACACCAAAGCATTAACACATGTTAGACTGCACCCCATAAACACAATCAAGCCTAGAAAAAAACCAGTGAACCACCCCTTTTAAAAAAAAAACGCACTAGTGTAAATGTAGCCTAAAAGATGGGGAAACTGAAAACAATTTGAACTTTATTTGCACTGATTTATTGTGTTGGTTACATTTTGTTCCTTTGTGCTTTTTTGTTCCTTTGTGCACTGGCTCAGGAGATAAGTCTTTGAGTCTGTAAAGACGTTAATAATCAGAAAAAATAAAACCAATATGTTTTTTGAGGTAATGTGTAATTTAATCTTTTTAAAATGGATTTCATAAAATTGGTATCGAAAAAAGTATAGATTAGGAACCGGTATCAAAGTCAAGGTATCGGTATTGAAAATATTTGAACGATACCCAGCACTTTTAAATAGTAGTGTATATTTTGCACATCCCTTAAAATATAATAGAAAATAGAAACCTGTAGGCCACCTTTCTGGATGATTCTATCTCACATCCTCAATTCTGAGACATCACGCACTGGCCAAATTCTCCATAATTCCACAGCTAACTTCTAGCTGCACTAGCTAGACAAACAACTAATAATTGATAACAGAGTATTCAGACGTGTAATACAATCTCAAACAATTTGCTACAAGTTAATTTTTCTTGAAAGTATTACATTACATTCACTCAAGGTAGCAACACAAAACACATTAAAGACCATAGACGTCTACAAAAATTTTGGGAAAGAGAATTTAAATAATCTGAAGCAGTGTTTTTGAAACTGAAACACTGCCATACCTATGTCCAAACAGATGGAATAATCCAGTATTATGCTCCCTAGTGTTTTAGATAGTAGATGTCAACATTTAACACCAAGTGGTCTACACCAGACTTTCTTAAGCCTAGAACTGCAAGTTGATGATATCAAGATTTCTATAAGGGTCAGAAAGTAAACATGCATGAAAAGGGAAAGGGGAAGGACTCAAACAGGAGGCGATAAGTTATCTACCAGCTGAGCAGACAGATCTTGAGGCTGGAGGAGGCAGGAGGCTGAGCCTGTTGGCTGCGTTCACACTGACGCTGCATCAGGGCAGATGGCGGGGTGAGTTGAGGGGGGCTCACACACACACACACAAATGATGCCAAAAATATATAGAGAAACTTTGATGGCCATCAAAAAGGCTACCAAAATCACTTCAAAAAATATAAATATTTACTTATTTTTGGACTATTGGTCACTTATGTTTAAACGTACAGCATAGTGAGAGCACAAATTGCAAGCAAAATCAAAGAACGAATTATGTGATGTCATTTCAAACATGAGAGACTGACTCTGTTTTTGCATTTTTAATACAGTAAAGCTGCTTGCTTTAAAGAAATCTATAGTATAAACTAAGCACTATATAAATAAACGTGACGTGACTTGATTGCACATCAGAATTGCAGAGCTTGTGCAAACATATCTACATCGTTATGATCACATGCTTTCTTAACTGCTGTTTTCTCACCACTGTCATTTTTGTTGTGCGTTTATTCTGTTATTGAATGGAAAGTGCATAGCACTGTAGACAGCATTGGGATGTTCACTAATAATATACTACTGCAAAGTTAATCAAACTTAATTTTACCCCTAAGCGAAGAATACAAATTAACTTTGCTGTAAGTATATTGGGTTCAAAACCTTTTGAATGTGCATCTTTACTGCTTCCTTTCCATGCCAAATCTCTGCACTTTCCTCTACTTACCTCTTCCCAATTCGCAATCCTGCAACTCTCATTTGTTGCTTTCTTTGCCCTCATCCCCAGCTTTTCTTCTCTCTCTTTGTCCTTAATTGCTATGATTAAGTCTACTGCTTAATAATTACTGTCTGCATCCCTCCAGATAGAGGCCAAAAACACTGACAGACTAGGCGTTTGTTCCCTTACAACCTTTTTGCGTCAGTACACAAATCATGTCGAAGGAAACACAAGCACGGAATCAATCGCACTATGGAGACGACTTGAATTAAACACACCTGCACCAACATGGCCTTGAAGTTAAGTTGAAAAGCTAGAGAACAGACATTTGATAAATGTTGAAGATGATGATGATGTTACCTTGATGTAGCAGTTCAGCTGTGGATAGACCCTCTGCACCCCCAGGAAAATAGAGAGAGGGGTTCGGTGAGGGAAGGATGCTGTGACAACATGTGTGACCTCTGGGAAAGAAAAAACCCGGAAGCCGTTCTTCTCATACAGCTGCTGCTGTTCCTCATTGGGTCCGTCCTCGCCTTCACTCAAAATACTACCCACTGCATAGCGACACTTCTGTGCTGGAACCTACAACACACATAAACATTTTGTAATGAAGAACCAATGTAAATATTGAAATTACTGTCAAAAATGATTGCTGAGTAAGGTTTTCACAATTAACAAAAAAGTATTTTGACAATAATTTAATGATTTAAACTAAAACTGCTGAAGAAAATGTACAAAAAAAGTCAAATAATCCAATCGGTTAAGCAGTCCACTTAAACATTCTCTATAAAGTTTTTTTTTTTTTTTAAAGAAATTTATATTTTTACTCAGCAAGGATGCATGAAACTGATGAAAAGATACATTTTTTATGTTATACTTATTAGAAATATTTGTATTTCTAATAAGTGAAAATGAAACAAAGAATTAAAAAATAAAAGGTTTCATGATTTCTTAAAACAGTAAATCAGCATATTAGAATGATTTCTGAAAGATCATGTAAAACTGAAGACTGGAGTAATGATGCTGAAAATTCAGATTTACATCACAGGAATAAATTACATTTTAAAATGTATTAAAATAAAAAAACAGTTATTTTAAAATTGTAATATTTCACAATATTACTGATTACTATATTTTTGATATATTTATTTATTTATTTATCAAATATATACATATTTAAGAAGTCTCTTAGGCTCAATACTGAATATGTGTGTGTGTGTGTATATATATATATATATATATATATATAAGACTTGAGAAAAAAAAAGTCTAATGGTAGTCAGAATGTGTTAGGTAGGTCACATAAAAATATGCCAATGCTGTAAAAACATGCCACACAACATGCAATATCATGTCTCTAAAACATGGACATTTTAGTCAAAAAGATAAAAGAAAATCAACAATGTGTGGAACATACATGTACTACACAAAACAAACAGTGGATAATTAATGCAGCCCTTTCTACCTCACTTTAGTTAGTTTGGCCCTGCTAGCTTTCACAGTTATCAACTTTCCCAGTACGGCAGGATTATATCAAAGACGAGCACTTCTCGAGCCAGCAAACACTGATCTTCCCAAACTGATCCCGAAACAGCATTTCCACAATAAAAACTTTCCCAGCCCCATTAAAACCCATCAGCTGCCTACAGTAATCACCAAAAGGAGCCTTACACATCTCACAATGCTTATCTTATGCAACAAGATCTCCCTCACTCTCACTAGCGCAGTTGTGTTCAAAGACAATGTCTACGATTCGGTGAGTCACAGCAGAAAAGCTAGCTTAATGAGAATAAACAAAGCCACGGCTGAAAAAGGCATATAAATACAGTATTAGATGAAGTTGCATGAGCAGGTGGCATTGTGTGGTAAAAAAAAACAACAACAATGAAGCTGTAGTTTGATAAGACTGTGCCTAGTTGCCACACATCGTCTGGCAGCTTCGAGACCGGTGTGGACGGATGCCCAACTGTCACTTTTCATGCACGCCTCTAGCTTTTACCAACCCAAAGCATATATGCTTGCAAATGAGGGCACCAAGGAAATTTGAGATGGATTGTACGACCCAGACTCGGCATGGGGTTCATGTTTCTCGAGGATTTGGAGGGAAAAGGGGTAGGTCGCTGAAGCTAGACTGTGACAGATGAAGGTCTGTTTAGAAAAGAGGCTCTAACAGTTCCCAGAACATCCATCCTTTAAATTGGAGGAAAGTGTTCATTCATCTCATAGTCTTCTGGGTCACTTTCGGCCTCTTGCCGGGCCCTCCAGGAATAGATTGCACCGCCAGTCAGGAAAAATATCAGTCAGAAAAGCAGATAAACAGACAAGTTAAACTGGTTTTAGTTTTCTCTCAAGACCATTTGGTGTTTATATTGCAGTGCTAATCAATTCTGATCCTTAAACAGCATCACATAATTCTTCAAGTAGTCTATTCACAGCTGGATCGTTCTGAGGCCCTGGTCTGTGGGAGGTCTGGTTTCCCAGTGCGCTTCCAGCAGATGTTGTTCATAGGAAGTGTGTTTTAACAGACTGGCCTGTCACTAAGCCTCCATTTGCTCAGAGCCTTTGACAGAAATTGTGACAGTCTCTTCCAACACAGCATTAGATTATAAATAAGTGAGATCAGCTACAACAAAACTTTAGGGATCGCCAGAGACCATGTTCTGTCAACAGTTTAGTCAACAGGGCATCTTTAGGACTTCAGAAGATTATTTTACATGTTTTTTTTTACATGAAACATGTATAAACATTAAGTATCGTAATTTAAACATCTATTTAACTAAAAATACAATGTGAAAACTAAGCTCCTAATACAATAGCATATAATGAGGATACTATTATTATATATTAGTTATTCTGTAAATAGGATCATAAATATATTACAAAAACAACAACACAAAAAGTCTTGGCCAATTAATACATCGCAATTATCAGGTAGGTTAATTGAATATAGACCAAAAAGTAAACTGAAATACAATCACCAAACCAGTTTGGATTAAAAACATATATTTTACATTCCAATGAACGCAGATGGCCCTACATAGTTTTTCGCTGAGTATCCTGTTTTGCTCTAAAACACATTACAGAAGTGTAATAGATTATCACTGCCATTTCATGTTGAATTTTAGTGTCAGTTTAAAGGCAAAATGGTGATGGTTTATGGAGTCAAACCAGCAACCTTATGACTTTCGTCTTCACTGAGCCTTAACCACTACATCACACCACGCAGTGCAATAAACAACCTATTAAAATACCAGTAAGTCATACCACAATAATCATACCCTCTTGCTGACAACTGGAAAAGCTCATACAGACTCTGAAAATTGGGTTTAAAGGAGTTGCAATATGGGTACAGGAAGCAGGGTTGACTTTGAGGTGGCATGTTTAGTCACGACTGAGGTAAACGTCTGAAAAGAGAAACTTGTAGACATTGAAATATGGCGAGAAAAGATCATTCAAGACACTGAACTGACAGAAAGACAGAAGTACTGATGAGCATATGTAACTGTCAGCATAGCGTTTCTGTTTTACATTTGTCGTTTTACTTGTCAAGTAGCAGTCAAATCCATTTCAGGCAAATTTGTGAAATGTCACTGAGGTTACAGAGTTGTAGCAGTCCTCTGGGAAATTCGACTCCAAAATACCTTGGAAGGCAGACTCATTTATTCATCACTTCAGACGCGCTTTAAAAAGCTCTCGCATCTTCCCTCCCCCCCTCGCTGTCACTGCCGCTATCCGCATCTTCACAGTGGACTGCCTTTTCATGTTCCTGCCATCCTCAGACAGCCAGGACGCTGCGAAAATACTAATAGTTTTGATGGCGAGAGCCAGTTGGAATTCTGTTCCAAGACATTTGTTGACAACAGGATGCTTAAGTTCCTTCCTAAAAATGGTAGTTTGTTGATATTATCTTTTCTGTCACTAGTCAAGGATTGATGGGTCATGAAGATGATCAGATTAAGCTATCAAGCTCATCAAATCATTCTCAGTTCTTCAGAACAGAGAACACTCAATTAGGGCCTGTTTTTAACATGAGTTGAAGGCCTTTGTTTTTCTAGCATCTTTTGCATATTTGAACCTTTTCCAGCAGTGCCTGTATGATTTTGAGATTCATCTTTTCACACTGAGGACAATTGAGGGACTCGTACACAACTATTACAAAAGGTGAAAACATTCACTGATGCTCCAGAAGGAAAGACGATGCGTTAAGAGCGAAGGGGTTGAACACTTTTGAACATGATGTGCAAGTTTTTCTTTTTTAGTTTAAAGATCATATTTTTTAATTTAGTACTGCCAAAAATGCCAGTTATTTAATTTAGTACTTACCAAAAATGATTTTTAATAGTTTTAGTTCACAATAACATCACTGTTTGGAATGACAAAAAGTTGAGTACATGATAACAGAATTTTCATTTTCAGATGAATTATCCCATTAAGGTACTAATATGTAACCTTAAATGGTAGATCAGGTAAAAATACCCCAAAATGTAAAATTCAGTGCAGTATTGGAAAATTGACGTCTTGATATTACAAACCCCTTTGTTGATAGTTATTACATATACATCAAAGAACCAGGCAATACTACCGCCAAAAAGCATGCACATACTTCAAAAATCTGAAATATTACTGAAAGTGCAATTCTGCCAACAGTCACCATCAACTATTCTAATAGCAGTCTAATAGACTTGCAAATGACCGATGTGGAGAACAGAGAAAAAGCAAACCCTAAAACTCTCCGTCACTTAGGGACTGGAATGCCTTTCATGGCCCTTCACAGAATCTGGCATGTGAAGAAGTCTTCCCCGCTCTTCTTATCCATGGCAACCATCTTCAGACCCATGGGCTTTCACTTCCACCGCATTGTTTGGCCTGATGAGAGAAAGTTCCCAAAAGCTTGCGGGCTTGTAGACTACAGTAGCAGTCAGTGAATAAAAAAAAAATAGAGGGACCATGGTGGTCATGCCAATCCTTGTGGTAAAATCCTTCATCCCTGAGGAGTCCATTGTTTTCCAGTCCTGTTACTGCCTCTCTACTTTCTATCGGCAGCCTTTGGGAGCTTCTGACCCTCGGGTTTAGCACCCCAGGCTCCTCTCTTAATGGGCTGAGATCATTATGACAATTAGCTGAACTGGATCAGGACTTGGCCATGGCTGTATGCGTGGAGCTTTGGACAGTTGCTAATTGGGGACTTGGGGAAAGAAAAAACAGTCTGTCATTGACAATGAGCCTTTGAAAGTAAGACCGAGCTGTCAATCAAGAGTCAGACTCCATTCCAGTAGGGCTTTCTGGTGGGAGGTTGAGTACACATTAATGCTATGAAAACCGTTTTGACTGGTCAAGAAGGAGGTGGGCAGGAAGTGTGAGAAATGTGATGATGCAAGTTCTGCATCAAGAAGGTCTTGTGCACAAACAGGAAAACCAAGAGGCTTTCTTTGCCAAAACGAGTCAAGAAGTAATTCCAGCAACACCGTCAGCCTACACAAACTGATTACGTGCATCGTCTCAAACAGGATGGTGGGTTTCTGCTCTTCCTCTGCTGTAGAAATGGTGGTTATTTTTTGATCGCCCCATTAGCTGGTGTTCTTTTTTTTTTGCCAGATAAATACATACATAGATAAATATAAATACACTCCTAAATGCCAAACAAAACACTCTGTTAGAACTAAACAACTTGAAAAGTGATTCAACCCAGAGGGCAACTGGAGCCACTGAAGGTCAGATATAAATAGTCACAGAAGTTGTGGTATGAGCTAATTTATATTCCATAAAAGTGTAAGGGCAAGCGTAGGTACAGGGCACCAACTCTGATACATTTTACCTTTTCTGCTTTCCTTTTTATGACATTCTGAGATCAAGTTCAGCCTAAGCTAGGGTTCATGAAATAATAACCTTGGTGCCTTTCTCTAAATTCAAACCATACACCCTAGATCGCTTCAGTCGGCTACTTATGCTTCCTTTCATCCACATTCTCTACTACTTGTACTGAAATGAATCTGAATTGAATCCAAACAACATCAGAATTTAGATCCTAGGACTTAAAGGCACAATATGTAAGATTTTTTTATTAAAATATCCAAAAACCACTAGAACAGTTTTATATATTTTGCTGACTTGTGTACTTACATTATCCCAAATGTTTAGAAGAATGTTTAAATCCAGAGAAATAAGAAATTTTAACTAGTGACACGGACCATGTCTATAGTGACGTCATAACCCTCGATTTCCGGTTTTGTTTTGTAGAAAATATGGAAACACCAAAGACGCTTTAATATGTTATGCATTTTATTAAACAGGTGACGACCGCACAGAGTAGCATTATAACAGAACTTTCAAACGTATCTAGTATGATAAAACAGCGCTGCTTTACCCCACATACGCACGACCGGAAGCAGCGGAAGCGCTCGACTGTGGCATAATAAAAGCTCCGCTGCTTTACCCCACATACGCACGACCGGAAGTTACCTGAATTCACCCTTCATATACAGATAGATATAGATATACACAAACAGTGGGGGTCAAAGGTCTGGAATGATGTTTAAATATTTTTAATAATACTAATAATTAATTAAATAATGTTTAAAAAATTGTTTTAAATTTGTATTTTAATACATTTTAAAATGTAACTTATTTCTGTGATGGTAAACTGACTGGAGCCATAACTGCAATCTTCAGTGTCACATGATCCATCAGAAATTATTCTTATAAATAATAATAATTTAAATAAATAATTTTTAAAAATGTAATAAATAAATAAACATCTAGAATATGTTACAGCCATAAATCAATCACTGATCCACCTGTCACACTAAGTTTGGTCTCAACATTAAACATTATTCACTCCAAAAATCATATAATACTGCCAATGCAGCAATAGAAAAGTGTCTTACCGACATAGCAATACACCAGTGTCCTCATTCATAAGGTCTACTCACCTTCTTTTATTGACTCGAGAACGAGAACCACTCAAGCAGTGGGCGCGTATGTTCGTTATCCGGCTGCTCTGCTTGTGTTCATCTTCAGTTCTCTCTTCACAGCAGTTCAGTCAGTGTACTGTTTGAGTAAATAAATTACTCCGGGATATTGATTTATTTCGACTCAGAGGGAGTGTCAGCCATGTTAAAAAAGTGAATAACTTAAGTAATTTGTGGATTAATGCTTACTGGAGACGCGAACCGTTTCAAATGATTCAGTCCGATTTGGTGAACTGGTTCAACCGGTTCACTAAGAAGAACCGGTTAAATCGAACGATTCGTTCGCGAACCGGACATCACTATTACGCGCCTCCGCTCCCTGTGACTCAAGGTTGAACTCAAGGTTCGCTGGTAAAAGATCATTTTGCTCTTCGAACTACGTAGTAAACGGCGTGTTCGAGCATGGCAGGGGCCGTGAAGAAGTTTTATGATCTGTCCGCCAAACTTTTGTCTGGGGACCTCCTGAACGTTTCCTCTCTCAAAGGTAAAGTGGTGCTAATTGAAAATGTGGCGTCGCTTTGAGGCACAACAGTCAGGGATTACACTCAGATGAACGAGCTCCACAGCCGCTACGCTGATCAGGGGCTCGTGATTCTGGGCGCTCCCTGCAACCAGTTCGGACATCAGGTGAGACTTCCAACATTCTTCACTTATTTATTTATTTTTTGATTTTTGAGGATAGATTATAACTTATATTAATACATCATATAACTTGTATACATTTTAATTAACTTATATTAATATATAAATCCTATATACAGATATTTATAGTGGTATTTATTTTTTTATGCATTTAAACCGAGGCGGACAGTAGTGAAGTATTTTTACTTTACTCAAGTAAATTTAAAAAGTATCTGTACTTTATCAGAGTGTTTTTATTTGGAAAACTTTACTTCACTACATTCCAAAGCATAATGTTGTACTTTTTACTGCACTACATTTCATAAATAAAAGTTGGTGTTTATTTTACCTTTAATACTTAAGAACATTAAAAATTTTGTACTTTCTTGTACTCCAGTAAATCTTTGAATTACTTGAGTAAAAGAAAGAAAGTAATAGATTTCTAATGTAATTAAGTATTAAATGATATTTAATATGAAACGTAGTGCAGTAAAAAGTACAATATTATGCTTTGGAATGTTGTGAAGTAAAGTTTTCTAAAGAAAAACACTCTGGTAAAGTACAGACACTTGAAAAGTACTTTTACAGCGGAGTAAAAATACTTCACTACTGTCCGCCTCTGCATTTAAATACTTTATGTATTTTTAAAATCCTTCAGATTTTAAGGATACATTATATATAATTATTAAAGATCCTATAGACAGATATACAGATTTTAATATCATTAAAAAATATTCTATTTATATATATCTAAATATTATATATAAACATATTATTATTGTTACACACT